CTTCCAAGTAGTGGGAACTACAGGTGTGCGCTACCATGCCCGGCTAATTTTTTTGTTTTAATTGTAGAGACGAGGTCTTGCCATGCTGTCCAGGCTGGTCTCGATCCCGCGGTCTCAGGCAATCCTCTCTCCTCGGCCCCACAAAGTGCTGGGATTACAGGCTAGAGCCACCACACCTGACCCAGACATTTAAGATAAGGAAGAATGCAACATTGTGGTTAAGAGTATGGTATTGGAAGTCAGGTAGACCTGGATTCAAATATTGAACCCACACCTTCCAGTAGAGTAATCTTGAAGATGTGATATCTATCCCCATTGAATGTCAGTTTATGCATCAATAGGAGCAAAGACAAATATACCTATTTCATAGTAATGTCATCAGAATGATGCATACAACAATATGTGGGATAATATCTGGAAATTAGAAAACACCCAAAAGATAAGTTTTTGTAGTTAATATATTTAATCTTAAATTTTCATTTTAGTTCATATTTGCTTCTTTTCTAAGCTAACTTATTCTCTGGTATCTATTGGGAAACTATAGAGCATGTATAAACTACCAAGACAGAGTCATAGTATCCTCAAATTTTGAGTTGGAAGAGATCAACTAATCCAGTATTTCCTACTGTACAGAAGTCTTTTGTTGCATCTTGCTGTCAAATAACCATCTAGATTCAAGGGAGAGGGGAGTCCCATGGCAGCTGCTTTCACTGTTGAATTTGCATCCAATGAATTATAAAAATAAGAATAATAAAACCATTCACTCCAATTTTTGTGTGGAAACAAAACATAGAATGAGCCTTTTCTTCGAGGTGACCCTTCAGATGTTTGAAGACAGCTTTTAAAATTACTTTCAACCCTACATAGCCATGTGTCATATTGAGCATGAAAGAGCTATCAAAATAGACGATACCGTTCATTCTGTTTGTTGATGTTTCACTGAAAATATTGTATACAGATCTAGCTGTGTTCTTGGGTACAGAGGATAACATCGTGGTCCATTCCTGCATAAAAATGTCACAGCAAATAACCTGATGATGCAAATTTGTGTAAAGTGAGCTTCAGGATGCATTATAAAAATGGCCATTTTGTTTTAGAAGAGTCAATCATAAAGACATTCTCATCAGAGAATAGAGCAATACAAAGTACTGATACCAAAACTTGAGCATTTCTCTTCAACTCCTTTGTTGCTGGGCTCCCCCTCCCCAGAGATGACAGCGTGAACAGCTTAAAACATCATTCTGTGTATTGATATGTGCACATACTACTTGTGATTGCTCACATTCTTTAGCCAACATTGGGGCCATACCATATGTATATTGTTTTACTTGGGACAGACTCTTAACACTAACTATTAGAGCTATCTGCATGTCAGTTTTAAAGGTTTTCTAGTATGTCACACATAGATGAACTAAGTCTAATAGAATAACTCCTTGTGAGCACTTAGGTTATTTTTCAGTGGTTTTCCACACAGAACAGTACTTCAGGGAACATCTTTGTGTATGTAACTTTGTGTCTGTGTACTAATGGAATGGATTTTTCAAAACAGAATTTCTAGATAAAAATGCATATATATTTAAATATTGCAAATTACATTGTAAAACCGAATACAGATTTATTCACACAAATATGCACATTTACTGTTATAGATTCAACCAATGGATATTTGTAAGTTTTAAACAAATGAAATGACATATGTATTATGAAAGGATTCCCAAACTTTATATCTAGGAATTAACACCCTTTAAGAATTAATTGCTTTTCCCAATGTGCATGTAGCCGCATGTTTACCTTTCTGATCAATTTACTCTGGCTTTGCCAGTAATATTAGCCTATGCGTACTGTAAGCCGGGCTCTGTGCCAAGGACTTTCCATGAGTTGTGTCGTTTAGTACTCCCCAAGTCTCTGTGACATTATTAATGATCCTGTTTCACAGACAGGGAAGACTGACATTTTGGGAAGCTAAAGCACTTGCTCAGAGTCACCACTGTATGAAGTAACTGAGACTCACACCTGACTGGCTGGATGTGGGCACCTGTTCTCTCAGCGTTAGGCCATCCTAGCACTGGTTGTCTGAAGCAAAGGCATTGCTTTGATGGCTCTCTTTGTCATTGCTGCTTTATCACTCCTCAGCAGTAGCTGAAAAGTGGGAACTTCCCTACCACGGAGATCCGATTCCCAATCTGATTATATTCATGTATTTACTTAGCTTGAGCCTCCCTCTCTACACATATTTTAAAATAGGGAGGGCAGTCTCTGTTTCACAGAGTCAAGAGTTTCATGACACCTGCTCACAAAACCCCAGGCTCAGCATCCAGCATGTGGTCACTCCATGAGCGAGAGCCCCTGCTCAGTCCACAGACAGCAACTGACACCCTCAGGAAGGGCAGAGGCCTCTCCTTGGTGAATGCTATTAATTCTGTTGCTTTAAAATAAAATGCCTGGCACATGCTAGGAGCTAACTTACTGAATATGAATCAATATAAACATATTGAATGCATTAGGGGGCAGATAAACATAGCCACTCATGGAAGCTATGAAAACTCAGAAAGAGAAATCATTAAAAATTCGACTAAAGTGATAACATTTCAAAAGAAAATGATTAGTTTTTCCAAAACACCTAAAATAACATCAAATAATTGACTTTATTTTTTCCATTTCTTCCCTTTAAGTTTCACATCTCTCCATATAACCCTAGATTCTTGTAGTACTTCAGTTTCTGGTTGAATTATGCTAATATTCTTAAAGGACCTTAATCCATGTGTAAAAAATGTTCTTTTAAATAGCTCACGTATTTATCAGTATATTAGCTTCATTAACATTTTAAACTTGTTTAAGTAAAGCATAAATTTGTTGGTGCTTGATTTATATGTCACTTATAAAAACCAAGCTCTCAACTCCTAAATCCTTGAAATTCTTGATTTGCTAATATTGTCTTTCTTCTGAATGATGTAAAACTATTAACAATTAGACAGTCAAAGATCAATTTCTAATGAATTTGTTATCCACTTAATTCATTATATTTTAATTAGTGTAAGTAAATTAAAACTACATTTTCTTTTTGTATACACAGTGAGCATGAGTGAGTATTATAACCCAATTTCTGTTTTATTGCCAACTAGAGTTATTATCGGGGAGTTTATTGTGGACTTAATTCTAACAATTAATTGTGTAACTGTAGCTGTCCTAGGAGTCAAGCGATTAGGGGGAAAAAAAACCAAACAGAATTAAGCTCAATTATTCAAAATTCCAGTTATCCAAAATTAGCATATGTTCCACACTATTTTGTCCATTAAATGACACTGTTAGCAAAGGTCAAAAAGGAAGAGATGTAGCAGGATATCTTCAGGTTTCACCGAGTAGTAAGTTCTGTCATCATAGGCATCACTCTCGTCTCCAATTTAAAACTGGTTTTATTGCATCACCAAATACACAAGAGCAACAGAGAAGGTAACATCAAAGTAAACAGAATAAATGCTGCCTCTGAAACCAATTGTCCTTTAGGATAGTCAGACTATCCCAGCAAACACCTCTTCTACAATCTTCATTATGGTTTGGGCCCTTATATCATTGAATCATTTGCTCTTCAAAACAACTCTGTGAAGCTGTTATTATAATTTTCATCATTTTATAGATGACAAATTAAGGTGCAGTAATATGTAATGATTCCCACAAAGTTACATAGTTTGGAAGTAGAGCTAGTGTCTGACTCAGCCATTGACACAGTTGTCTGTCTGATGTACTTAGTTATCTTCAAATTGCCTTCTTTCAAGAATTCATATAAATAGTATTGATAACATGTATGATATTCACACCAATGTAATTTTTTTAATTGCACACCACTGCAGAATGAATCATCGGACTCCAATTATTTCCCTTCAAACAACCTGCTAAGATGGCACTAGTGCTTGGAGTATCAGTCCTGGTTATATGACTAGGACACAACTGATTAATCTGAAAAAAAGCCTTAGATGCCTAGTAAATATTCTGTGGATGGACAGATGGACAAGTAAATGAATAAATGAAGACTAAATAAGAAACCTCATTAAGTCATAATGCATTAATACACATATATCAATACGCAATATGTAGCATTTCTGAAATTTTATTTAAAACGATATGTGACAAATGGTAGTATCATTTTCTTAAGAAAAAAAGTTTCTTTCAAAATCAGATTGATTCACTTAATCCAAAATCTCTGGCTTACTAAAATGTTTTTCTAGAACATGAATCCATCTGAAAAGATTCTGTACAGCTTATTCAAGATCTAGGACTTCAACATGCTGATTTGTATTTCAAGTTGTGACTGCATGGTTGGCCTAGATTGACTGAACCGAAAGTCACAGTTCAGTCTCATCCACTGGCTGTTTCCGGGGCGTCACTCAGTGCAAATCAGGACTCTTGGTAGCAGTGCGGCAGCTCAGCGCTTCCAGCATCTGTTTGTTGGGTGCTTATTTTTGGAGTGCAGGGACTCAGAATGATTTGATTTTTATTGGTGGACTCCATACAACTGAAAGAGCATGGCTTGGTATGGCTGCATTTCCTATCAGGTTCATCCAGTCACCCCATGTAGATGAGAGCTTAATTCAAATTGCATGTTCCCTGTTAGTTCATTCAGCTTATAGGATTTCAGCTTCTTGATTCAAACCTTGTTGTTTCCTCAAGGATGGAGTCCACGTTCATATTTGTTAAGCTTCTGAAACTGGCTTCTTCCTTTCTAGTTTTTGGTCTAAAAAATCATTCATCACTATAGCGGTGGCAAATTTTATTTATTTATTTATTTTTAAACTTCAGTACAACAATTTTTATAAAACAGTTAATGATAATTGCTAGGCAGCGGTGGACCTGAACACAGATGTTCAAACAATGCCATTCTTTCCCATTTTGAAATCAAACTATTAGAGGGAAAGGGGAGAGAATTAAACCAAATTAAACGAAAACCCCCAAGTCTATAGTAAGGAAGAATCATAGCAGGTTTAGTCAGTGAAAGGGACTGGTATTTAACATATATTTGAATGAAAACACTTTGCCACCATTTTTTAACAGAAAATGATCTGCACTTTTAAATTTGAAGCTGCTCTGGCATTAGGATTTAATTGCTTTCTGCTCCACAGGTTTCAGATGCCACCGCACTACCAACTCCCCAGTGCTCTTAAGGCATGTGTTAGACATGTCCTCTTCTGTTGGAAGTCCTTGTGGCAACTTCAGGGTTTTGATTCTTATCAAATGTTTAACCACTTTCAGTTTTGCGTTCACTGAAGGGATATTCTTGTGAACTTGAGGGGTATGTGCCTTTTGTAATCCAAGCATCTTTATTATATCTTTTTCCCAATATGGACGTCTTTTTGTGCCTTTTATTCTGGTAACAATATGCAGTTTATGAGGGTTTTGTGGATCCCCACCATATTTTTCATGATCAGCAGGTGAAGGCTAAAATACTTTATCTGGAATTCTTGACCTGGTAAATTTGTGACGAATCCAGTCTGTACAAATGAGAGACTCCACACCTTTTGCCATAGTCTGTAGTCTGCCTAGGGGCTTCTGAACTACTAAGTGTAAAATCCCTGCCATAAGTGTAGTGACTGTTCTCTTTAGAGGCGGCGCCCGCTAAGTGTTCAGTCTGAACTTTTTCGCAAATTTTAAAATAAAAAATCTATATCGCAATAACTGTGATTCTGAAAGTCTTTAATGCATTTTAATTGGCACATGTACAACTCTGCATGGCATTGATATATGTATTTTCTTTACATCCAAAGTTTTATTTTTATCTAGAACCTATTATTTCTCTATTTCTGTCATTTTAAAACTAAAAAGAAATTCTATATAACAATTTAGAAAAATCTTTATTTATATACCTTCAGTTTCCTTCCAGAAACCTTTCTTGGTGGATGAAAGTCATTTTTAAAACTTATTCTCCATAAAAATGCTGGGAACAGGTAGATTATATTTCATATCAAATCATTTGAGTTATAAAACAATCAAATGGCATTTATAACGGAAATAAAAACTGAATTTATGATTGTCCAGCAACAGAGGATGAATTTTTTCATTTTTAAAATCTCATTTCCTCAGGGAACATAATTACTCTTAATTTTTAAAAAAAGTTTGTTAATTTGAAAGGTTTTTCTCTTTATTATAAAGTAAATTATAAAAGCCATAGAAAAGGAAGAAAAACATAAAATAGAAAATGATGTCTTGACCTACTTGAACATCTTCAAATGCCAGTGAGGATTTGCTGGTGTTTTTTAACACCTGTGTAATAATATTGCCCTTTGAGTGCAACTAGTTAAATTTTCAAAGATGTATTCTGGAATGTTGCCATCTGATGTCCATTAGCATGAATTGGAATATGTAGCCAAATCCCTGTACACCACTTTGAAATTTTACCCCTTAGTGTTAACGATAGTCTTCTAACAGTGCAGTTAGAAATAAATTATTTATCTGCCTAGTTCAAATGTTCTTGGCTCTCTTGGGTCAACTAAATAAGAGAAAAAAGAACCTCAGTTTCTTTATTACTTCACAGGAACATATATGTAAAGAAGTCATTAGCTTAGTATGTACTGAGCATGTCCCTTATATTATGCAGAGAGAGCTGTGTGTTGGTCAAAAGGGTTAAATTATAGATTTCGTTAAAAATGTTGGCTTTTACCTTTTAATCCCATCAGGTCTCTTTTTAGTGTAGCTCAATATATGTGTATATGAATGTGTATGCGTATTCTCGCTATAAATTTGCCTGTCCACGATGTTAGCCTGTTTTATAGTTAAAACATAAGGACTAAGAAGCTTCACTGATAAATATTTAAGATAGAAATAGAATCTTGACATCCAGTTTCAATTTCTTCTAATTTAATACCTTGTATTATAAATGTCTGTCATGAATGTTGAAGTGTCAGCGTTGAATATTCTTAACTAAGGAATACTCTCATCTAGAGAAAGCTTTTGTAGGTGTGGGAGCAACAAAGTAGGCATTTCCACAAACGTGTATGTGTTGAGTGCAAAAGTATATTTTGCAAAACTTTGATTTTATCGGAAATATAAATGAACAGGATAGAAAAAAAGTCACTAGTTTTCTTGGACTTTATCTTTTGAGCTGTTTTAGGTTCACAGCAAAATGGAGAGGAAAGTACAAAGATGCCCACAGACCCATCCCCATATGCGTACTCCTCCCACATCGTCAGCGAGTCCACCTGCATAGGACATGTGGCACAACCAATGATCCTATACTGACAGTCATAGAGTGCATGAGGGTTTACTTTGGGTGCTGGCCTAGATTCTGAGTTTGGACAAGTGTATAGCAACACGCATCCACCATTACAGGATCATACTGAGTGTTCCCACTGTCCTGAAATCCTCTTTCTTCTGCCTATTTTTCCCTCCCTTCTCCTTCTGGTAGCCACTGTTATTTTTTCTGTCTCCACAGCTTTGCCTTTTTGAAAATGTCATCTAGTTGGATTCAGATTGAAAGCCACTGGTTTTAGGAAAGTTCCATGTGCTTTCTCAAAGTGAACGCTCTGGTAAATTCGTGTTCTTGCCGCAGGGGACTCTGTTTGTGGTGGGGAGGTGGTGATGGACTCACCACATGCGACTGAATCAGTCGCTTGATGGTGTCATTGGTGGAGCTCTGGTTTGAGACGGTGCTAAATTCTTGCACAAGTAGATCTGTCTTTAGTTCAGGAAATTCTTTAAAGGACTACTGACTTATGAGTGGACACCAGGAATATCAAATTATATTTCTGTGTTATGAAAGCATTTGTGTACTCTGGGCTGTTTAACACTTGAGACTTAAAAGGCGCTTTAGTACAATATATTTATTTTTAAAATATCCCCAGAGTGTTCTGCCCTTCTATATAGTTTTCGTTACTAGTAGGGAATGATATACTGGAAGTGTTTAGCTAATTAATTTTTTTTTTTTAGTTGAAGTCTCACTCTATCACCCAGGCTGGAGTGCAGTAACACGCTCACAGCTACCCCTGCATTGACCTCCTGGGCTCAGGCCATCCTCCTGCCTCAGGCTTTCAAGTAGCTGGAACTACAGGCACACGCTACCATGCCCAGCTAATTTTTTAAAATTTATTGTAGCAATGAAGTCTTGCCAAGTTGCCTGGGCTGGTCTCAAACCTGTGGGCTCAGGCAATCCACTCGCCTAGGCCTCCCAAAGCTCTAGGATTAAAGGATGAGCCACCGAGCCCAGCCCTAATTAAAAATTAACAAACTAAGTACATATGCTCTAGTTACTGGATTCTAGTAAATTATCTTTCCTTGACTAAAACTTATAACGTATGAAAAATTAGATTGTGCTCCCTTTGTTTCTTTGAATTGTGAAAAATAATGTTAAAAACAATATGGAATCTGAAAGTTCCTCAGCACCTAGCCTGTTTTTGCAGTGTCTGTATTCACACCAGCTGCTTTATACTTTGTAGAAACATAACATAGCTGTGCGTCTACTTCTGTATTGTACTGTGATCATTTTTCTTTTGGAAAATCTGTTGTTTCTTGTTATTTTAAAAACAGATGCTTGAATATTCAATACAGCCTTTTGCACATTACTGTATCTCAACTGTAGTGTGCATGTTTTGTATGAGCAAGTTCTAGGATTGCACTACCCACTTGCATGACATGTCTGCATTCAGTAAAATCATCTAGGTCCTTAAAATAAATACAAAACGATGTTTGTGCATGATGTATGTTTACATCTTAAGCAGAGATAAATGCAAAATGTGTGCAGTACAACACTGCCATCACGTCATGTAGCATCAGACAACGTGCTCAGGTGGTCAACACGCTAACCCTTGGTTATTCCATCTCCACAGGGACAGCCATCAGACCTATCGCTTTAAGAGCAGTGAGTGCCATCGCTCGCACCTTGCCTGGATTTCCCATTTTGGCTACAGGTGGGATCGACTCAGCGGAAAGTGGCCTTCAATTCCTCCACAGCGGAGCTTCGGTCCTCCAGGTAGGAGTCGTGTGTGTGTGTGTGTGTGTGTGTGTGTGTGTGTGTGTGTGTGTGTGTGTGTGTCCCCTATCAAAAAGCTTCACCTCACAAACACCCTATGTATTCTTGTTGGGCTTCTTGAGAAAGAAGCCACGTGAGATCAACATGATCACTCGTTAAGTTCCTTTGATGAGCTAAGGAAACCCGAGTTAGACTTCCTGTCCTATTGACAGGACCTGTCCTTCCAACCACCTGTCTGTCTCTAATGTATTTATTCACCCATCTTCTAAAACTAATGAGATTTGGTGCCAAAATACAAACTATCCTACTGTATAATAAAAAAAAAATGCATGAGGAATTCTGAGTAAAAGTAAATCTTGATTGAAAAATAGAATGATATCCAAGGCATGACAATATATGCCATGAGGCATAGGAGGAATTATAGATTTGACACTGAACTTCCTGATGGCCAAAGAAGGAAAGTCATAACTTTCTTTTTTTTTTTTTTTTTTTTGAGTTGGAGTCTCACTCTATCACCCAGACTGGAGTGCAGTGCAGTGGCTGCTCCCAGCCACCGCAGCCTCGACTTCCGCCTCAGCCTTCCAAGTAGCTGGAACTATAGGCGTGTGCTACCACACCCGGCTAATTTTTTGATTTATTGTAGAGATGAGGTCTCACCAAGTTGCCCAAGCGGGTCTCGAACCCACGGGCTCAGGCAATCCACTCACCTCAGCCTCCCAAGGTGCGGGATTACAGGCTGAGCCACCGAGCCCGGCAAAGTCATAACTTTCAAAATGAATTGATTGTTCAGCTTCTTGTGATACAAAGCTGAGGGAAGTTCTTCCATTGTTTTCATAAAGGGATGCTGTGAGGTGCAATCAATTATACTTGTAATAGCACCCCTAAAGCAATGAAAATTTAGATTCAAATTTTTTTTCAATTGAACAAGAAATTATTTTATTTCATTGTAAATATGTGGGGTACAAGTCATGATTAGACACATAAGTAGTCTACGTGCAGGTGATAGTGGGTCCCCAACTACTCTTACTTTCCCTGGTTTAGTATCAGGTACCTTCAATGATGATATGTGCTTCACCCCTTCCTTCCTCCCCTGACAGGGTCCTACTACTGCCAATTCCTCTCTTGTAGTATTGTAATAAATGTTCAGGATCCACTGGTAAATGAGAGCATGTGGTATTCAGTTATTTGTATCTGTGATAGATCACTATGATGTACTCTAAATCCATCCAAGTTGCTGTGAAGTCCATAATTTTGTCCTTTTTTATGACTGCATAATATTCTATTGAGTGTATGTACCACATTTTCTTTATCCAGTCCACTTTCAATGGGCAACAGAATTGGTTTCATGTTTTTGTTATTGTGAATAGTGCTGCAATAAACATGCATTTGTAAGTATCTTTTTTTGTAGAATGATTTGAGTTCCTCTGAGTATATTACCAGAAGAGAGATTTCTGGGTCACATGCAAGGACAACATCTAGTTCTTTTAAAAACTGTCACACTGTTTTCCATAGAGTTGAACTAGTTTGCACTCCCACCAATAGTGTAGAAACATCCTCTTTTCTCTGCACCCGTGCCACCATCTTTTTTTTTTTTTTTTTTGAGTTATTGATGATAATGGCCATCCTTACTGGAGTTAGATGGTAGA